CGTGTGGCGCCTTCATGACTCGAGGTCTATGTCGAGAGCCCGGCCCTTAGATTTCGCGGCTCTGTGATAGGATCGAGGGTAAAGGGCGGAAGAAACGCTCGTGGATTCTTCTTACAAGTATCCTTAACGTCTGGTTAAGAGAGCTTCGTATTCACTATTACTTGCTTAATGGAGGAGACATGGACTACCTTGTCATGTTGCGTTTGTCGCGCCTCGTTGAGCTCAATACGTACCGCGCGATTCTGTGGGCCCCCGTCCACTCGGGGGGGTCGCAGCTGCCTCTGGAAGGCACCGAGATGTACCTTTTTCGCGCAAATGGTCAAATCAAGGTTTTGTAACGCGAGCTGTGCCACAGTGAAATGGAACTAGCCCAAGGGCCATCGCGCGAAAAACGACGGAGGAGATGCATCCTAGCTGTCGCCATCGAAGGCGACTCGACGCCGCTGAGATCGGAGATCAAGCTCTGACAGGTCACACGTCGCTCCTTTGACGCCGACGTGACTCACCCGTGCAGATCACATCAGGACACGGTCTCGACGCGCTCGGTACGACGCCTGCGACCCGTCTTGGGTCAGGTGGCACGACGCTCATCGCGCCTACCAGCGCTGCCGTACAGGTTGCCACGACGAGGTCGAGCACGCTTCTATACGCTCGCTCAGCCTTCCTTTCCATCCCATTAGGCAGCCTGGGAACGGTGGCGGTCAGAGGCAAAGCCTGCGAGGGGTGGTGGAACCACATGTCACGGCTACTGCCGGCTCGACCCCACGATAGCCTCCGGAGGCTGACTTTGAGGCACCATCATCGGCCCCCCATACTAGTACTCGCATAATGTGGGTAAACGAAAGTAGCGTGTACGCATGCTTACGCTACTATGAATGAAGAAGCCGAAAAAAGACGCCGCGGCAGAAACGCCGAGCCAGCCAGCTGCCGGCTCGCACGGCAGCCTCTTCCTCTCGACCAGCCTCAACTTCCGTACAGTCAACATTTTGTCGCTGCGTGCTCGTGGCGAGCTGTGGCGGCGGTCGAAGTTCGCCCAGATTCGGTGACGAGCGCCAGACGATAGTAGTGTCTCTGTTCGCCCTGTGCATGTCAGGCCAGGCTGCAGCAGGGCACTACCATCGTGCTGCCCTGCTGCAGCCTGACTTTGCCCACTGTGCACAGCCGCCAGAGCACCACCACCGCCCGGTATCGTGTCACGGCGAGCTTCTTCTGCGCCCGCTCGCGAGGCTCTCGCGCTGGTACACTTTGGCCATCTGCTGCTCGCGTTCGGCGAGCTCTTCTCCGCACTCCTGCCATGGTGCCGTCACCACACACCTTCTGGCCGGCCTGAGCCGCGCGGGGTCGCCGGCGGGGGCAACGCGTCGACCTCTCTCTCTGGTGCACCACGGGCCGCAACGGCCTGCTAAAGCCGTAGCAGCGTGCGCGAGGAGGCAGTGTGCCGGCACAGTCGAGCCGGAGCATCGGGTTCTTGATGCTTGTGGGGTCAAGTCTGACCTTATGCGGCCTAATATACAACAATAATGCTATGCTCTCACCCAGCCTTTTGAGATATGATCCCTCAAAGTCGAATTTTCGTTTACTGGTGACCATACTTTAGTGGGGGAAATGGTCCACTAAAACATTCATTTTCCAAGCCCCAAACCCAAACTGGATCTCGAGGCGATCCGACGGTGATTTCGTTCGGCGTCACGATGACGGGTGAGGAACCGGTAGATCGCTCCTCGAGGCATGGAAGCGATGGATGTTTGCACTGCTCGGGGGCCTCAGGGCCCGGACTGCTTGGCCCTGGCGATCGAGCTGCAGCTGGACGCGCAGGGCGCCGCCGCCGCGGAGGCGGCCGTCGGGTCGCCGGAGGCCGGGGCGGGGGCGCTTCACGGCCAGGGCTGTGAGACACGCCTCAAGCCACCAAGTGCTGCCAAGCACCTTGCACAGGTCGGGCGGGTGCACGGTGGCTTCCCCGGGGCCGCCCTGGCCCTCAAGGCGACTGTTGGCGATGCTCTTTCTGGCCGATCCGGTGCGCGCGGCCACAACGGGTGCAGTGACACGCAGTGGACCTCGGCGCGCTGACGTTCGCTCACGCGCCTGCGCAGGAGAGAAACTCCTGTCCCCCATCACCTCCAAGGGCGACACGTTCTTCGTTCGGCACCACGCCGACGCCACGGACACGGAGGTCCTGATTATCGCCCTCTTCATCGTCCTTCTCGAGCCCAGCGCCGAGGACACCGCCGAATGGGCGGCGGGTTTGGCGCCTCTCGCGGCGCAGGCTGCGGATGAGCAGGCGGGCTGGGCGACGTCGGCGGCGCCCGCCGGCTACTACGACCCGTTTCAGCGGCTCATAGACGACAAGTGGCACAAGGAGACGTGCGAGGCCGTGAAGAAGGCGGTGGATGGCTGGGAGGGCCGCGGCGCGCGCAAGGACGTGACAGTCGCCCACTTGCTCTCGTACCACACCGGACTTAAGAAACACCCGGACAATGGCGGGCTTGGCGGGCAGCCGCCGCGCAAGAGGCCGCCGAAGCGCTTCAACACGTGGGCGGCCACGCGCGTCGCCGACCTAATCTACAGGCGCGGCCCAGTTTTGCGCGCGGCTCTCGGCTTGCCGCCGGCCGCCGCCGCGCTGCCTTCGGCGCCGTCGATGGTCGAGGAGAACGCGGCGCTGACCGCGACCATCGGGTTGAAGGACCAGAAGATCGAGGCGCTCGAGCGCGAGCTGGCGGTTTGCCGCGCGCAGCGCGCGGACAAGGCCGACAAGCTCCACAAGGCGAAGAAGCGCGCGGAGCGTAAGCGGGCCGACGCGCGCAAGTACAAGGAGGCGCAGCAGCGCGGCTACTCCGAGGCCCAGAAGGCGGCGCGGGCGGCGCAGCTCGCGACGCGCAAGCAGAAGTTCGACGCGGCGGTCGAGCGCGCGTCCTACGTGCGCGTCGTGACGCTGACGAAGAAGCTCGCGCGCGCAAACCAGAAGCTCGAGGACGCCGGCCTCGCGCACGCGGCGGCGCTCGACGTGAAGAAGACGGAGGTGGCGAGGGCGCGCAAGCGGGCGCGCGCCGTCGAGGGCGACGCGGCGAAGCTGCCCGAGCTGAAGCTCCAGGTAAAGGAGCTCAAGGCGCGGGTCGAGGAGCTCAGGGTCGAGGAGGAGTCCGAGTCCGAGGACGAGCCGTCGCCGCGCCCGGGCTGCTCGCCGATTGTCGGCCTGCTGCCGCGGCGCGACGAGCACGGCCGCTGGCAGGCCGAGTCCGCCGAGCTGCGCGGGCTGCGGCACGCGCAGCTCGCGCGCGGCGTGGCCTCATCCACCGTCTCCGCCAACATACAGGACGTGCTTGACGTGCTGTGCCCGGGCCACGGCGTGCCGGCCGCTTGCGCGCGCCAAAGCAAGCTGATGCGCGGCGAGGTCACGATCGCCGGCGAGGCGATGGCCGCCTTTAAGTTCGCGGCGAGCCGGCGCGTCATATCCTTTGGCTGGGACGAGTCGACCAAGTTCGGAAACTCCGTCTTCAGCTGCAACTTCCAGCTCGAGCACTTCGACGGCACCATCGAGGACGTGTGCTTGCGCGGGCTCTCGATACTGCCGCACGGCGGCACGTCGGCAGCGCTGCTCGCGCACATCGAGGAGCGCATCCTGTCCTACTCGCGGCGCGTCCTCGCCGCGTGGATCGAGCAGCACGAGAAGGAGAAGGGCGCGGGCAGCTGGGCGGCGGCGGGCGGGCCGTCGCCGGAAAACATCGGCCTGCACCGATTGTGCGAGGGCACGGTCCTCATGACGGACACGTGCAACGGCGCGCGCTGCACGCGGCGCATGGTCGCGGCCGCTGCGATGGTCGCCGTCGAGGCAAAGGTCGGCAAGGCGGCGTGGGACGCCATGACCGAGGAGGAGCGCGAGCGGAAGTACAAGACGTACCTCGGCGACTGCTGGCAGCACCTCCGCAACATAATAATCGAGGCCATGGCGGCCGCGGCGAACGCGTCGGTGAAGGCGACGCTCGACGACGAACTGGACGAGTTCTCCTCCTTCGAGCGCATCGACCCGGACGGCAGCTGCGTGAT